AGTGATAGAGTAATTATCAGTTAATTTGGAATAAAATATGAAAAGAAGTAATGATGCATGAACTGGGAAAATAAGGCACGTACTTACTGTTTTACATGCTAAGTTGACGACATGAACCCGACATACCAAAACTACAGTTTCACCACTTTGCTTCCTTATTAACTAAAAGTAGAATTTCTTGACCTTTTTTCTTTGCTTTGCTAATCATGTCGGGGTCCCCATTGACCAAAGGGAAAAATAATCCATGTAACGCCGCTAGTCATAATATATTTTGTAGGTGGATTTACTTTATGGAAAACGAATATATGTATATATATATATATATATATATATATTAATTCTTTATGTTAGGAACCTTGTTATCTTCATTAATTACAATTTTAGGATTTTTGAGAGATGGGGTTCGATTATCTTCCATTTACATTTTGTGGTTATTTTATAGGTTTTAATGAGTTTTATCATCATCATCATTTATATATATGTGTAGAGTACACAATTTACATTTGAAATGATGTACATTTGTGAACTGTGGTATTAATATATTATATATTACAACTTAAAGGATGAAAAGTAGTAGAGAATCTCGACCTAGAGGGATTAAAACCGAACAACCTAGATGCACATAATTATATTATTATGTAATGCTTAGAAAATATATATTTAAATATTTAATTTAATAATAAATGTATATATCTCAATTTATATTATTAAAATAATTTTAATCAAATTAAAACAAACCCCACTTGAAAAACATGATGGGAATGCAGTTCTACAGGAGCAATAAAGGAAGTAAGATGGTTCTTAATTTTTCCCCAACTGAAGTATATAAAAATGGCAAACAAAGTCATCAATCAATTGTTCAATAGGAAGCAAAACGATTAAAGCCAATCAGCAGTGATATTGTCATTTTAAGGAAGCTTTCCTTCTCCGGTGCATTCTTCAGCCTTTGTTTGGAGAAAGTATAATTTGCTTAGATTTATATAGTATCATTATATAATATAATAATAACATAATAATTCACAAGTCTGGCCCAAGAATAGCCAGCCATTGCCATCCACTACAAATTTATTATTATATTAAATTTTCATTATCAATTCATCATCATCTTTGGGATCATATCAAAAACTTGAGGAACTCAGTAGGGAAAGCCATACTTGTTTTATGCAGTTGATCAGCAGCATGGCCCCATTTTATCAAGAAACTTTTTCCTCATATTCATTTTGGAAACTACGGGTGGGGAGGAAAGAACAATTAAAGTTTTAATTGGTTTTGTTAAATTACATAATACCAAAGTTTATAGAAGAATAAAGTGCTGTTATAGGAAAAGAAATAGATTAATATTATTAATTAATTTTATTATTGCATGCGTCATTAACCTTATCCATTTATAATTATCTTCTAAATGAAGAGGCTGTCCACTTTGTTTGATTTGTGGTTTGGACTGTTTTTCTGGTTTTGCCAAAGCCCCATCCATTTCAATTTCCTCTAAATTAAATCGAAGGGTTCTTTTCTTTATTATAATAATAATGAGCCTTATCCAATACATTAATTATCCTTATAATTAATCCTATAATTTTGGTTAAATTGTTGCTATTACACCACAATCTGCTTGGATCTCGCTATTTAAATTGTTTACAAATGTTGAACTCAAGCACCTCAGATGCATACATTTACACGAGCATTGGCAAAACATATCACCTTTGGCTAAATTGCACTTAGGTCCTCCTAGGTTTACGTAAATTCCAATCTCAAACATTTTTATGCATGTAAAATGGAAGGTGACCTTTCTTCTATCTTTTATATATATATCATGTTAGCCACCCGGAACAGAGGCTTTAAGTCTCAAATTTGGAGAGGCCTCACATTTTTATAATATCATTATATAATTAATAATAGCTTAAAATACTCTACCTTTTAAGTTTTAATAAAAATTTTAAAAAATTTATTAGTTTTTGAAATGAACACTCTATTCAAAAAAAATCCTTCATTGGACACTTAACTGTTAGTGTTTTCATTAGCTTAATAAGGTGATAATATTAAAAATATAATTTTATTGTATATTAATTTTTAAAATTACTATTATATAAGTTTTATTAATTTAAAAAAATAGAGCACCAGATTTTAAGGAACACCAGATCTGGTGCTCAAGAGTGGGGAGCATCAATGATGCTCCCAAGGGAAGGGTGGTGCTCTCTAAGAAAAAAGAGCTAAGAGCACCCATCGGTGTTTTTTTAAAAAAATTTTATATAATAATAATTTTTAAATTAATAAAAAAATATTTTAATTTTTTTCATATTATTTATTAACAATGTTTGCACTTTTGAGATGAGATGTCTATTTTGAAAACTAATAGATGCATTCGAAATTTTCGACTAAAATTTAAGAATAAAGCATTTTATCCTTAATTATATTAAAAATATATAAAAATTAAAATATTTAGTTGTTCTCTCATGTTTAATAAATACTTATTTTCTCTAACTTGCACGTCCCTATTAATTTGAAACTAATTATCTCATTTTCTATTAACAATATGTAAAAAAAATAAATTAATAAAATAACATATTCTCTTACTTTTCCAATTATGTGCCTAATAAATTTTAATTTTTTATCATTTTTTCAATTCCAACTAATGATAATACGTGTTTAATGATCTTTAACAATTATTTTTGTCTCACCTATTTCTTTTATTTCCAATCAAGCAATGGTAAGAAGTATTTAATGATTTTCAACAACTATTTTATTTCTTATATATATAACCAATAATCTTTTTTTTACTTTATAATATTTATTTTTTAATTTTTCTTCTCTCATTTTCTCTTTTTTCCTTTAACTTTAATTTTCTTCCAAAAAATATACAAAAAATCTATTATGTTATTATTTTTATAAAATCGTAAGCCTCATTTACAATTTACAATAATCATTATACCCTAGGTATTATTGTTTTAATATTTGCATATTTTTTTACTTTAATTTACAGTTTATATTATATTGTTATATTATTTTTTATGTGATAGTTAATTTATTTAAATTAAAAAATTTTATTATTGATTTTATATTAGCTATTAAAAAATATAAAATAATTATAAGAGCTAAATATTTTTAGTACTTCATAATAAATATTTGAACATGTCAAATCAAAAATATGAATTTGATTACTTAAAACTTAATTTTTTTAATAACAATAAAAATGTCTTGTTCGAATATTTTACTTTAAGCTTTTGAAGCTATCAAGTTGTCTCTAGTTATAATTTTAATAAATTATGTTCTACAAAAACCATTGATATTCCTCTTTAATAACGATTAAATATAAATTCATTTCAAAAATCAAGTCTAACATTCATAGAAATTTTTTAATAGATCAATTATGCAAAGTTTTAAATAATTTCAGCCAGTTTTAATACTTTATTTAAATAAATATTTTAATTATAAATTATGATCAACTTTTCGCTCTTGAAAATTCACAATTGTATTTTGATTATAGATGTGATTTTTAATTAATTCTTTATATTTTATTAACTTCCATACCCAATATTGTACTTTATGGATTTATCCATTTTACTTTATTTTTATTTAATTATTATTTTTCAAGGAAGACTTTATTCAAGAATAAAAAGAAGTTAGGATTTACGGTTGACGAGAAAGTTAGGGCCTAGGGGTATAAGTGAAATACCCCTAAAGTCAGGGGTATGAGTGCAAATTTGCCAGGTAGGCCGCAAGAGAAAAAGAAATACAGAAAGGTAAAGCCGAAAAAATAAAAAAATAAAAAAAAAAGTTTGTGGGCGGGGGAGAAAGAAAGCAAAAGCCAGCCGGAAACAGATAACGAAAAGTCAAGCATCCACAAATTTTCAGTTTCCCCTCAAATGAATCTGTCCTTTCCCTTTTTGTCTATTAAAATAAATAAAATACAGAAAGATCTGGTACTTTAAAAATAAAAAAAATTCAATTTTTTATTTCCTCTCACCTGAAAAAAATCTTTTCCTCCAAAAATGTTTCCTCTCCAATGACTCAAAATCTCAAACGAGGTCTCAGAAAAGTCAATTAATCTATTTTTTTATTCTTATGTATATCCATTTACCCCGTCTTTTATCTAGAATAATTCTTTATTTCTGATATTATAAAATAATAAAAATTTTACACAAAGTTTGCATTTAAAATTTTAATATGATAATTAATTATATCATATTTATATTTTTTATATAATTATTAATATCATATATTTACATAATACAATTAACACGAATTATCAAATCTATCTTAAGTACAACAAATTACTATATTATGTTCTTAAACCTAACATTGTAATATTAATGTAAATGAGTTCACATTTTTGAATAATTTAACAAATTTATTGCCCTTAATATTCATTTCGAATCCGTTTACTTTGCTATGAATAGTAATATTAATATTCCAATCTTTATATGTCAAAATAAAGTGACAAATGATAAGCATAATTATGGAATAATTCAAGAAATTAAAGTGAGATTAATAGTCGACTAGTATAACTTGTAAAAAAAATAATTGATGCATTAATCAAACACCATATAAATTTTATTTATACTTACAAATACTTAATAGGGATTATATTTGTGAGTTACATGAAAATAGAATTTTAAGAACCCAAGTTTAATCTTAAAATTATTGTCTCTTCAATATAAGTCACGTTCAAACTTCATAGGTGGAATTCCTTCTCTCTCTTTCCATATTCAATTGTTAAACAAACAAAAACAAAAATGTTTTGGTGTATTTATTTACTATTCATTTTGGTTTCAAAATTTGAAATGACCATTTTATTATTTTTAAAATGTGTAAAAATAATAATCACTTTTTAAAAAATAGAAAACATTTTTTAAATTATATTTTTGATTGAAATATTAATTTTAGGTGTGACCCTCTAATTTTTATATTATTTAAGATATAATGTTAATTATCTCCAAATATTTGTTATAAATACGAGCTGTTTTCCCCCAAAGAAAAGATCACATTATTAGAAAGTGACCCCTCTCTCTCTCTCTCTATATATAATCACTCTATCCTTTTCATTTCTTCGATAAATATAACAAATATTTTATTTTATTTTATTTTTGTAAAGAAGGAGAGTTTGTTGTTGGTGGTTGCGGTTATTTCTCGCTGATTTGTACCTGTTCTTTCCTTTCTGCCCAATGTTCATGTTTCTCTCTCTGAAGGCTCTTCACTTTCCCTCTATAGGATCTCTCCTCCTTCCTTCACTCTCCCCTCAATCCTCTCTCTACCCATTTTCACTACCCCTTTGCTCGCCCTGGAACTGCCCTTCCTCTGTTGTTTCCTTTTTCACATTCATTAATTTTTAATTTTTGGCCCTGTTTTTGCTGATCTTGATCCTGGCCTTTAATCAGCTTTTCTGTTGATCTGCTGAAAAGTTTTGCTCTTTTGGGTCGTTTCTGGTGAGAATTATGGGACTCTCAATTCGTTTAAATTATGGATGACAATTTTAAGTCCTTGTTTATTAAAAAGGGTGTTGCTTTTAGGTGGAGTTATTGAGTGTAGAGTTAAAGATTCGAAATTTTTCCTTTTTTCTTTCTTTTGCATAGATTTGCATCCATTGATCTCCTTTGTTGATACATATGCCTTTTCAGCTTTTTTATTATTTGCTTTCTGATTAAAAAAACAGGAGTTAATCTTTTATCATTTATTTGTATCAATCAAAAAGATTACTTTTCATCTTTTGTAAATTAGAAAGCTTTAGAAATAAATTTGATTCGTTTTTTTTTGTTTTTTTGGCGTTGTTGGTTGATTCAGCGATTTTTTTGTTGGAAGCAGTTTATGAGCTGGAATTTGTGGATTGATCTGATCATTAGATTGAAAGTGGAAAAGGGTGTCTGGAAATTTTAATTTAAGGTCATTATTCAAGTGATTTGAGGGAGACTCAAAGGAATACTTTTTGTGGCTGTGATTTAAAAGGGTTCCTTGATTGGTTGTAATTTTAAGAGACTGAAGAACAAATCAAGGTATTATCGATTAGTGATTGGATATTTGGCTCTGAATTCAGAAGGGATTTTTGAGATTTAGTGTATAGGATTGTCAAATTGAAGGTTATTTGGTGGATTACTCGGCACATTAGCTGGAAAGTTTGAAAGGGTTTCTTTAAGGATTTAACAAAGAAGTTCTGACGGATCCGTCTACTGAAAATAGGGGTTGTGATTGTCTGGCTGGTCTGGAGTGCATATTAAGCATTATCAGGGCCCTCAGAATGGGGTCCTGCTTATCTGCAGAAAGCAGGAGCCCTCTCCCTGGTTCGCCTTCGTCCCCTCATCTGGCGAATATGAAAAGGAGGGGTTCAAGGAAGAGATTAGGGTCGCAGAATTCTTCCTTTGACTACCGGAAGGAAGAACCATTGCATAGGATTCCAGGGAGGTTATTCTTGAATGGGTCCAGTGATGTTGCTTCACTCTTTACTCAACAAGGCAAAAAAGGAACCAACCAGGATGCCATGATTGTTTGGGAGGTGAGCTCTTTTTATTTATATTCACATGTTAGTTTACTTTTTTTCATGGGAATTCTGTTTTTATCAAACTAGTCAAACAATGGCCATTTAATATATTTGGCTTTATGTGTGATGTTTTCTTGAATAGCTTTGAAAACAAGCAATTTGTCTTATGATAGGAATATAATATTTCTTGGATGAAGGAACTTACCCTTTTTTCTAGTTGCAAGCTAGCCCATGCTGTTGTATTATTTGATGGTATCTTTGCATGTCTGTAATGTTTAAGTCATAGTTCCTTTTCTGCAAACATTGAATTTTGTATTACCTTTCTTTTATTTGTTTATGACCTTTTACTTTCCTTGTGTACGTATGTTCATATAAAGGACATTCTGCTATCTATTTGGAGGAAAAGCAGAATGTTTATATTAATTGGCTGCAACTTCTCGACTATCTTTCAGGATTTTATCCAATGATTAGTTGCTACATGAATGATACTTCCATGGTGGTAAATTTAAACTCATCATTTGTTTCTATTTTACATTTGCTACGTGAGTCTGTGTTTGAGGGACCATAGATTTGGCACCCCTTGGAATTCATTATTTTAAGACATGTATCTTTATTTTCTGGATGGAGTAGAATATATGGTAGATACTCATGTCAAGAGAGGTAGAGGAAGACCAGAAAGGGGTATGGACATCAATTTTGCTAAGTGTATTGACAATATGGTAAAAAATAGAGTATAGTGGCACAATATAAAACATCTAGCTGACCCTACTTAATGGGAACAGACATTGTTGTTGTTGTTGTTGTTGTTGTTGTTGTTTAGCGGAGGATATAAACATTGATGATGGTAACTTGTGTAGACTGAATAATAGAAGAAGGTTTCTAACTCTTTATATGCTCGACCATTTCTTAGTGAAGAAGGCCAAGACATTGACTTTTTTATCCCTAGAACATATATCCTCTTACTTGAATATGATGGATAAGGGGGTATAGTAATGGTTCTGTTATGTGAATTACAAATTTCTCCTTGTATTTGTTAGTTATGTTATTAATATTGTTATTCTGCATCATCGTGTTCCTTTTCTCACTATGTATGGCCGTTGTTTTCCAGAATTTTGGTTCAAGAACAGATACAGTTTTCTGTGGTGTTTTTGACGGCCATGGTCCCTATGGTCATATGGTAGCAAAGAGAGTGCGAGACCATCTTCCCTTAAAACTGAGTGCTCACTGGGAAGTTAATATATCCAGTGAGGATGTTCTCAGAGAGATCAGTTTGAATACTGCTGGAAGCATGAACACTGAAGACACTGCTTTTGTATCAGCTGATGAGGAATCTAGGGCCTCTGTAGATCTTGAGGAAACAGAAAAGCACCTCGAGATCTTTCAGGCGCTTAAAGAGTCCTTTTTGAAGGCTTTCAAAGTGATGGACAGGGAGCTTAGAATGCATGCCAATATTGATTGCTTCTGCAGTGGGACGACCGCTGTAACTTTGGTCAAGCAGGTATTCACTTGTAACTTTTAAAAGCTTTATTTGAAGAACTATGTTATGACATGTTTCACAGTATTTCTGAATCATAATTTTGTTGGCTCCTTGTATAGGGTCCATATCTTGTCATTGGTAATGTTGGGGACTCCAGAGCTGTGTTGGGTACAAGGGACAAAGACAATTCACTTACTGCAGTTCAGTTGACTGTTGATCTCAAGCCAAATCTTCCAGGTCTGTTTGTCTGTTTTAGACATGCATTCTATTTTAGTTTTTTCTATTGAGTTTCAGACTTCCATTGCTTTGGCCTGAAGTTTCAGACAGAAAATTATGATAGGTGAAAACAATAGCACTTTTCTTTTTGGAACTTTGGGTGTATGGGATTTTTTATGCCAAGTTTTGTCTCCTCTTATATTTTCCTTTTTCATGGTCTTGTGTGTGTACTGCCCTGAGTGTGCCACCTGTTTGGAAATTCATTATTTATTGTGAAGAAAGGAGAAACAAAGTATGATGGAAGGCAGTATGAAAATGCTATTTAAATGTTCATCTTGTGGATGTCAGGACATGTAATGGAATTGTTTGGCCTTCCATATTATTTCTCATGTCCACCACGTTAGAGGTCCCTCTTTTTGCTGTTTGTTGACTGGACCATCTTAAATTTTTTGCACCCTTTAATTGTCTTGGTTTTCTTTATGTTCTCCTGGCCCATTCTCAAGACAGTCTTCATTACTGGAAGCTGTTGAGAGAGAAGAATTCAATTTTGACAGAATACAGCATTAATTTGGATCCTATTTGGTTTGGCAGCCCCGAAAATTCTCT